GATTTGTATCAACGAGCACGTGTAAAACTCATTTTGTGCATGTCTTCTTCATTTTCAAGTTCTTGCTCGGTGAAAGAACCGAAATATGACGACAAAAGCTTAGCTAATCCGCTTGAAGATCTCCCTGAACTCGACTAAAACTCGTCTGAACATTTTAAGCAATTCCAATTAAAAATTTCGTGTTTATCAAAGGAAATGTCGCTTGCATTATATACCCAGTTTCAAAAACACTGTAGCATTCAGCATTTATTAAATCAACAGGAACTCGAGTTCTTGAATGAATATATTTTTTTGGACTTTTTTCTTCGTTTTCAATTAATACAATGCTTAGCTTAAGCTGGAAAAGACGGCCGATTCGCCAGAGCTTATTTCGGTTTAATTAGCTTCTTTTAACATTTTGGCCGTTGCTCTCGCAATCCGAAAACAGGTGCGTAATTATTTATCCAAGGATGGTCCTCCAGCGTTCCGTTTAAGTCTCGTGAAGGAGTAACAATATTTGAAGGGGGCACTATTGAAGAGTGGCAGGGAGGAAGTAGTCAGTCCCACGCAGCTCTTTTTTGTTGTCTTCGCGTTGCATTAAAATCGAAACAAAAACGGCCGGGTATGAGACTACCTACGAAGCTTATGTCTGTGAGTTTGTAACGACAACATTCTCGACTTGAATAAATGGCAATTTACATGAACCAACGTAACCTGATAATGTAAGCAAACATATAAGACGTCTGCCAACCGCATTGTTTGATAATATGCAGGTCATTTTGTTTGTGTTTGATGCGCAAACAGCTATGGTTATACAATACGTTTGCCAGATAATAACATTCCATCCAAGGGCTAGGGAAGGGAAGTCTGGGGTGGATACTCAATCATCACGGTATTACCTCTTCTTCTCTAGTCTCAAAGGTAGCTTTTCTTGTGTCGATCTTCACGCAACTCGACGACTCAAAAAAGCTCCATAAGTGAATACTTCCTCCCTGCTTCTCGTCATGTCCGCTTCAAACAGTTTCTTCTTCCAGACTAAACCGAACCCATGTAAGGAATTCACCAAAAAATTGAGCAATTGTATCTTATGAGGAGTCTTTAATCCTGCTAAAATAAATTGACAAAGTTTCGAGTTCCTGGAACCTTGCTTTCATCTTTATTCAACAAATCAGCGTCGACGACACATCCCGTCCCTACCCCAGCTGATTTGAAATCCCTACTCATTCAGTTCTATCTTCCTACCTACAAACAAAAGTAGGTACAAAAAATAAAAACTGCTCTTCAAGAACTGAATTGAATATGAATTGCAAACTGTCCGGGGATCACAGGCATAGCCTCGCAGGAGCAATGTCAACATCTTTTCGCGCCATCTATGCATAATTAAAGAACATTACGTCAGACCCCACTGCAGTCTTGACTCGTCTATTTCGCTCTTGTATTTTGGGAGGTTCCGGAGCCAACAAGTGTAAACCATTTGTCTCTCGATCAAATCATTGGACTTTATGCATCAGTCAATTCCACTTGAGCCCAGCTCCCCCCCCCCCCCCCCCCCCGGGCATTTGCCTTTTTTTTTTTTTTGCCTCGGATGACAAATTCCCGGGGGTGGGGTTCTTGAGCTTCAAATCCCCCAGGATGGGGACGAAAAAAGAGGGCAAATGCTATACGATAAAGCGCAATGTGCCAGTCCTAGCCCCGCGTATCTGGAGATTTTAACTGAGGTGGAGCGGGACGAAGGGGGGGGGGTCAAGCTAGCAGTGAAGTCGCGATTGTGGGTGTGTTTTCGCGGCTTCGGCTGCTCATTTGCGCGCTGGCCAAACGAAACTACCACCTATACACAGGCTATGATCGTTCAACAGCGATACTCACGCTGACGTGACATAAATAAGTGCCAACCAGAAGCGCATAAGGCCTTGTAACAAAAAAACAACGTTTGTAAACATTGATGTCCCCCATATAGCAAAGAAGTTATGACCTTACAAAAAAGTTGCGTAACTCTGGGATTGGGTCAAAAAGAAATCGGTAAAAGCACAACTGCCCAAAAAAATCATCGTTTTAGTGCGAATTGGTGGTGGAATTGTGGTACTATTACGCTCTGATTACTCCAAAAAAAGCTTCTAATATTTGTTTAGATCGTACAAGGAATTGTATGGAGTCATCAGTGCCCAACGTTACGTGCCTGGGTATGGGAATACACTGTAAATACATTCTTTTAAAGACAAGAGTGCACCTTCGAACTTTCAATAACCGACATCTCCCATCAAAGCAGACACTCCGTCATCGGTGATTGTCCATGCCATATACAGACCATGCAAGTCTGGCCACAGGGGCTGGTCCCCTCACTGCAGGTTTTCCTGTATTACACAAACCTTAGCGGTTGTGATTAAGGTGTAGTAATTTAACAACGAAATTCGTGCAATCGTATGTATATGTTGTGATTCAGTTTTATCGCTGGTTTAAGTTTTATTTCTCTTTGTTTTAGGGTATAGTAATGCATGGTAATGAGTCTGGAACCAAGGTGAAGTACAATTTAAACCAGGGATAATATTGAGCCACAACAAATACATCATGATCGGGACCAAGTCGCCCAAAACCATACCGGTCCTGGCTATCAATACAGTTATAACCGCAAGTTTTCTATAAAATGGAACTAAAGAAAAAAGCTTTATAATCCATAAAAGCAATGGCATATTCTAATTCATGTAGCGATAAATAGCAAAACGCAAAATCGTTTTAGACTTCAGAGGTGTATTAAGCGAACGAAGGCAGTATAACTTTGCTCTCAAGCTCAGGCGTTGTTCAGGCCGCAAAGCACTTGCTGTCAGCACGAAATATTTGATTTACGCCAAATTTATTTAGTGCAAATGTGTTGCCAAAAAGTGCAAACTAAGGTTAAATAGAGGGTAAAGATGGCAAATGCCGCATTTGCTCACGAATTTACAACCCCGTGTTAAAATAGACCGGTATGCAAATGCAGTATTTACCCGTCTTTGCCTTTGATTTCCTCTTCGTTTGCACCATATGATTTGACCTGAGCAAATTTGTGAAAATCTAATTTTTCGTGCATGGTACCTCTTTCCCCATGTACTTTCCGCTTCCAGCATGAAGAAATTCGCGAAAATATCCTGACAAGACAACTTTTGACGAGCGAAGTTTATTCAGCGTCAGCGTCCTAACCTTTTTAACTACAAAGTTACACACTGCAAAATGAATATTAAATTTTAGCGCGATCTACAGCTAATTCGATATGAACAAAGAATGGTCCGTATTGGGAAAAACGATCTGAACAATCGTCGGCTAATTGAATATGCAATACCGTATTGCAACAGTACCGTAGCTTTGCTGCTTATTAGAGTGCTAATAATATTGATTGTTTTTTTCCGTTATAAATACAATCCAATGTTTTCTACGGTGAAACCTGAGTGTATTTTAGCGATCATTTGCTAAGAGTACAGTGTAGGTATTGCTTTAGAGTCTGAAAACTCGTACATTACATTGGTAAGATTTTTTTTTTAATTGACCCTAAGCTGCAGGTGCTTGTATTTACAGACTTCTTTTCACACTCCACTAAAAAACAATAAATTATGACATTAACCGATAAGTTTGTCTGTATGATACCCAAGTGATTATGCTGTGCCATAGCAGTTGAATTTTCCAAGAGTGTGGTAGGCTTTCTCATCACTTCCACCTGTATCACCAAACCTGAGCTGTTTTACTGGAAGCTTTGTCTTGTCAGTGAGGAGACCGCTGTCTTCACGCCATACATCGTCATTGGCATCACAGTTGCAGCCTTTGTTGGGATTTGCGCAAGTGTTGTTCATTCCGCATGCACACTTGCCACTTCCAGGTGATGCTCCACCCCAGTAGGTCATCTTAGTAGAATCACGTGACACCCACCATCCATCTGGATCGCCTTCAAACCAAAAAACTGCCTTGCGACACTCGTACTTGATAAACTGCTCGCAGTGTGAGGAGACATTGGCGAGACTGGCCAGCTGAGATAGATTTGCTCCTGTGTAATTAATATCACGTGAGTAACTACCTTTATCTTCGTATCCATCCACAGTAGTCCTGCTCTCACTGTCGTGACTTACGACTGTCACACCAACTCCGTTCTTGTTGGTCATGTCACAGTACACTGAGAATGGCTCCAGATCTCTCTCGCCATCTGAGTCAATAGTGTAATTTCCACTTGTTGCTGTAGGGTGTGCCTTCTTTAAATGGCTGCACGATAAGAATGCAGCTGCTAAGCAGAGAAAAAGTTCTAGGTTATTTATTTCAGTCATTGTTTAAGAAACGCTGTGCTTCATTATTCAAGATGTCGTGTGCTACGCATAAAAATTGTTAACTGTCGGAAATTGAAGTGTTGAGTAAAAATCTTTGAAAGGATAGATAGAGGCGGTACAGATATTGCAATATAGACAGAGTTATATACACAAGCCATTAATTAGCAATTATTAAATTATTAATTATTAAATCGCTGCATAATAACCCAACTACAGAGAGAAAGTGTCCAATTTTAGACTGATAATTAACTGATAATTTTAGACTGATAACTTTCACAACATGCGAGTGCCTCATTATTCAATATGCCCGGTACACCGCATAGAATTGTAAACTGTCAGACGGATGAAGATGACTTTACCATTATTTTTGTCAAAATGGCAAACCGGGGCGAAGAACATTCTGATTCTAATGCGGATCTTAGCGAACTGGAAAAACGCCCTGGAGACTTTTGAGAATGTATTAAAGTATCCGCGTAACATGTGATTGGCTTTTTTTGAAATCTTTGGGTGAATGGTCCGGTTTTATGAGCTAACGATCTGAGCTTTTCTCGATAAATTCAGGTTAGATGTACACATGAATCTTTGAGAAATCTTTGGAATTGTTTCTGTGCAATATAGAGCTGTTTTGAGACCTATAATTATGGAGATGATATTGCTGATCGGGGGGAAAAATTACGATTCAGCAAGAAAGGTGAAGATACTTAGAAAAACCACGCGGGTGGTGGGTCCTACAAGTTTGTCTGGGGTCAAGGGTATGCCCACTTGAGAAGCTACACCAGGGATGGTTTCCACATTGTGGGTGCACATGAAGAATTGGGAGAACCAACCATAAAATAGTTATCCATTTCATGCATCAGGTCTTGAATGTGATAGTTGTTCTTCAGGAGCCACTCAAAGGCGTCGGCCAAGTGATTAAAGAAGAAGGAGCAAGGAATGGGATCGCAAGCCAAAGGGGAGGCGGAGAATGTAAAAGTTGCCCTGCCAGTGGATGCCGAGTAGCTCGCGGTTCTCCGGGCAGACTGGGCAGTGTCATATCAGAAGGCGTGTTTGATGTTTAGTTTTACTATGAGGGCTGTGACGTGCAACTAGAGAGAGAGCTTAGTGGAAGGTAGCGTAGTGCAATGTGAAGGCTTCCTTAGTTATGTAATAATTAATTGAAAAACCGTGGAGATAAGAGATATCAGTGATAAGGCACCAGATGCCATCTTTCTTAGGCACTACCCCGCGGGGAGGCATTGGAAGTTTGGGATTGGTGCTGATTTGATTGGTTACGACAAACGAAACTGTCCGAATATATGGGTGTCCGTAGAGGGGGGTTCCACCCCGAATGTTGGAAGTCAAGAAAGTGGCAACAAAAAATTACGAATAGCACGCTCTCCTGCAAGTTTTTAACCCCAAAAAAAAACACACAACAAAAAGACTTTAACAGCGTCTTGAAATTAATTGCATTTTCTGCAACACTCCATTGTCGACCCGGAGGATCTTCTTGCATCGGTTCACTGATCATGATACTTAATTATGTGTCATAAACCCTTGTTATAAATAAGAGAATTTTAGCAAATACAAGGTTGTACTGAATTTAGCAGAACACGACTTACCTTCGCAGTTTTCACCTCTAAAGTCAGATGGGCAAACACAAACGTATTTTTTCTCAGTATATCCCATGTAGCATGTCCCGTGGTTCAGACAGGGGTTCGTGGCGCAAGGATTCTAATTTAAAAGAAATGTATGGAAACATCAACATCTTAGTTTGTTATCATCATCTTCTGTTCTTTTGATGTACGCATGGAAATTTTCCCAGCAATAATTTCATTTTGGGAAAATAGGACACCAAAAAAGTTGCTTCCCCGTGGTTAACAGGCATTTACACATGGGTATAACGGCTAGTGTGAACCAACCTATATTGCATGCATCTCCAGTAGACCCATTAACTTTATAACTAATACCGTTTTAAAATAAAATTCAAGCAAATCTTTACTACATAGTGATAGTGAATTCTTAAAGTTGGGTTGAGCCATTGTACGTTCTACATGTACCTGTGTGCCTCTGTAGATCCAGTCTTTTCTTGGTTTGAGATCTTCTGGGTGCTGCAAGTGATCTGAATTACTGAGTTCACAGGTCAACTTGTTGTTGATCGTTGGACCAATATTATATGAAACACATTCCCTCGCAAGGGCGCATTGGTCTTGGCAATCTAGGTTTGGTTCCACGGAATGATTTGAAATCACGTGTCCTTCAAGGTAGAAACCTCTGACTGGTGTCAGAAATGTGATGCGTCGGTTGTTTTGACCGCAATTTCCTGAAACATAAATTAATATAGTTAAGAAAGAATTCAATGACCGACTATAAATTACATTGAATTGCAAAAACGGGTACTCGAACAAGGTTCGAATAAACGAAGCCAAAAATGCAGTAATTATTGATAAGATACCTGCCAATGACACTCAATTTCGATCTCCTTTGCAAGAAGCTGAGTGCGGTGAAAATGCAGTAATTATTAATAACATACCTGCCAATGACACTGCACTAATATGTTTTTGTCCAACTGATCTACAAAGCCTAGTAACAGCAGTTCATGAAGCACTGAGGAAAACCATAAGCTCTATCATTGTATTTTTAAACGTTGCTGAGTGTGATATGGAGTGTTCTGTTAGGGAGGTGTAAACTCAGTAACTGTTCAAATAAAGGCAACAACATTTGGACATGCACATCACCATGTAAACATCGCACGGCTCCGATTTGCTGTGCACCTCTCGTGAAGGAAGGTGGCCAGGGGATACCCAGAAGCCATTTATAAAATAGGCAGAATTAGTTCCATGGCACTGTTTCAGGTCTGAAAGGTATATTTTTTTACCCTGGACTTTCCCTCCCTAGTGTGCCTCGGCCCGATGTACGCACACTATGATTGAATTTGAATGAAGGTCATATAAAGAGGTCCAATTTCACTGCCGTTGGTAAATAGTTAAAAATATGGTTGAATTTAGGAACAAGTACAGTTGAGACCAGCAAATACTGTTTAATCCGAACTCAATCATGTTTTTTGTTAATGACCTACTAGTGCCCTGCTATACGGGGCTTTTAACAATGAAACTGTTTGGCCCGGGGAGACGGAAAGTTAGAGGTGTTTTAACACGCTGTCAATGTTAAATTCCCTGCCAAGTCGCTGGGGTCGGAGGGCCGCGGTCTCAATTGACTGATGCATTTATTGAATTAACAGGGAATTTTTCTCTGTTTTACAATGACTAACGAAAAAAAAACAGAAACGATTGGTACTGTTGTGACCTACTATTTTAATTTTTAAATTGGTAGAGCATATTCGTCGTACTCTAACCCTTGACAGCTGAAGACAACGTCTAGTTTAACACAAAAGTTTCTTCAGCAGTGCATGTAAAGCTGATCGTTAGTCATTTTTGACAACTAGGTGAAAAAGAACAATATAGAAAAAAGGTGAGCATATCAATCACATCACGGAAAGTCCTAAAAGGTTCAAATTTCAGCTACATTTGAAGTGCTAGTGTTCGACCGGTTTCAGTAGAAAAAGCCACCACACTTCCATGAAAGTACAATTTCGCGTAAAGCATGGCTGGTGCAAGCGTATTTATTTACTTTGTTTTATGGAAAATGCGGCCACTTCTCACTCAGTGCACGGTACTTGAATTTGATTCTCAATAGAGAGGAGAAGTGTGACGTCACGTTATCATGGTAGCACTATTTCTGGATGACAACAAAACCAACGACGACGACGGCAAGGAGTTCGGCAAAATATGATATGTCTATATTTACAAACAACAACTTGCACGTACAACACACCATTTTGAACATTTCTTTGCCGTCGTTGCACCACTACGACACGAAACTTCCTTAAGCTAATTTCACGAGCTCGATTTATGGAGTAGGTGAACACAACACAAAAATTGTCCCTTTCATTTTCTAAACTTAGATAACGTTAGATATGGTCCCAAAGAAAATTTCGCCATAATTTGCCAAATTAAATGAAATTGAATAAGATCGGTGAAGTTTGAAATAGTGCGAATAGACTTTTAAGTGACTTTTTCGGCTTGTTGTCATCCAAAACTTTTGCTACCATGGCAACGTGACGTAACGACTTCTCCTTTCTATAAACTTTTAACAGAAAGTGGCCATAGCAGTGTGCGTGAGCTACTTATATCGAACTATCCATATGGTGCTATCCAAGTACGTTTTGCTAAACTGTAAGGCATTGCAAATAAAGAGAAAGTTTCCAATTAATTTTACGGGTCCAGTTTTCATGAACACTTTGGGGCTTGGGAAACTCCACCACATTTAATGCGATCAGACAGTCGAGCCCGGCTCAGTCGCTTTCAGATCACGTTCACTTATAAAACCACTGGGCAACTTAGATCATAGCCTCACTTATAGTAGGCCACTGGCGAAGCGTTATTCAAACGGCAAGTGTTTCAACACGATGATTGTAAAAGTTTTTCCCAAGATGGCGAAATCTCCGTTAAGCCCGGCTGAAAAAAATTCGCATTCGTAACATGTATACTTAGGTTGTACAACTCGAGCGGCTCTCGGTTCAGGTAACGGTTGGTCAGGGACACCCAACAACTATTTTCCGCAAAATATCTGTTCGGAGAAGCAAATATTGCCTAGAATTTCCTATAGCTTGAGGAAGGCTAAACATTGTTAGATGACCGTTCCATTCTCGGATTTTCAATTCTAAAGTTTAAAATGCGAAAATGCGATGGAGAGAATAATGAAAAAAATTCTCACTTTCGAAATACTTTAAAATGCGTCTAAAATTTGCGGGAAAATAATACTGAAGCCTTTGTAATGACTTGTAGTTTCGAAAAGACTCAAGTTACCCTAGGATGACCATAGCCCCGCTTAAAATGCATTTCTAGAGATCTAAAAGTACTCTGGATAGCCTAAGAAGTGTTTTCAATGCATTTAGGAGGAAACCGTTGTTGCCCTGGATTGGTCGACGCGGACTGACAAAATCTTCGGCAATTTTTAATAGGTCTGGCCTACAGCGACTGAAATATTTCATGACAAATTAAGACCCCTCAAGGTCTTCTGAGTATATAATAGCTGAAATAATTTTAAAGAACATCTTCGCAGCTAAAGCCGCAACTGAGCAAAACAACGTACTGAATCAGATGTAGTTCGGCGAAGAAAAAGCCTGAAAAATAGTTAATCTGTACCTCACCTTCATTAACGCGAGCAGTTGCAACATAGTTTAGCCAAGCTCCCCAAACAACACAAACCAGCAAGAGCGCTGACACAGCTAAACGATCTGCCATGCCAAGGCCTTGGCTGGGAATGAACCGCTCCCGATTGCGATCGGACAGTTTTCATGCACAAGCAGAAAATGTCATCAGGGCTTATTAGTCATCAGTTAAACGTCTTGACGTCGACCTTTGTTGAATAGTTTTTAATTATTTAATAGCATACATTCTGAATTTTTATATTGTTCAAAATGTTTACAATTGTAGGATTCCCTCTAAGTAAAAAAAAAAAACAAACAGACAAACAAAACAAATCTACTGCCGATAAATGTTAGCTTATCACTTTTTATTATCTTATCCTTTTGTTTTCATTTATTTCGTATTTTACCATGTACAGAAGAAGAGAGATTCTGAGCTCCCACTCAATGAGATGTTACTGTAAGAGTTCTTCACTCCTCGATTACTTCTTTGCGCTCCGCACTGCAGAATGTTTGCCGACGACACCAACCTTACGTTATCTGCTAAGACGTTAACAGAGCTTAAGCTAGCTCTAACCCCTGAATTAAATAACCTTAGCTGTTGGCTGAAAGCTAACAAGCTCAGTCTAAATGTTGCTAAAACAGAGCTAATGATTATTGGATCAAGACAAAGACTATCTGCCCAATGTGACGATGTAGAAATCAGAATTGATGACCAAATTATTAAGAGAGTCGATCATACCAAATCCTTGGGTCTTACCATAGATGCTCAACTCTCTTGGGGTAAACACGTTGAAGAGATTTGCAAGAAAGTCTCTTCAGCTATAGGCGCCCTAAAACGTGTGCGGCCCTTTATATCCAAAGAAACTGCAATTCAAATTTATAACGCTTTAATTATGCCTCATTTTGATTACTGCAGCCCCGTCTGGGACTGTTTGAGTGGTTACTTGAGTGATAAGCTCCAAAAATTACAGAATCGTGCAGCCAGAGTTATTACTAAATCACCCTTTGATGCGAGCTCAAACCACCTTCTCTCCACCCTTAGCTGGGAGAGGCTATCTCTTCGACGAAAGAAACAAAAAGCCGTAATGATGTATAAAACCATGAATGGCCTTGCTCCAGAATATCTGCAAAGTCTTTTCTCTCAGCGTCAATCTGCTTACAACTTAAGAAACTCTGAGGGAAGGCTGACCTTGTCCAAACCAAGCACCAATTATTTGAAGCGAAGCTTCTCTTACAGCGGGGCCATGTTATGGAATAACTTGCCCAAAAACTTAAAAAACGCTGCATCCGTTGAGCATTTTAAGCGAAATATCAAGAAGGTAGCTGATATATCGGATTCCCACACGGCAATCATGTAAAGCAGTTGTAATTAGTTTTAGTTTTTAACTTAAGCTTAACTGATGATTTCCCGTGTTTAAATAAAGATTTACATACATACATACATACATACATCATGAACTTTCTTATCACCACATTTTCGAGAAAATGTGATGCCGAAGTTTTTTTTAATACCGGGTAAGAATGGATTATATTTGAAAATAAAGTTAACTACGTCTAAGTTCAAACGGATTAAGAGAAGCTATGCTGGTGGATTATAATACGTATATTATTTTCTTTTATTTTTTTTTTCTAATTTTCCCAACAATAACGTCGGTCGGGTCATGAAAAACAAAACACTTTAAGGGTTACTATGGTCTTCTCGAACTTTTTATCCCAGTTACCCAAGGTTTAAAGTTTGTTTTCTCTCGCTAATTTATGTTTAAGTTGGCGTATAAGTTAACTTGGCGTGTAATTCAAGAAGGATATTTCAATGATCTGTTCATTAAAATTAAAGGTAAGGGCTGCTTTTCCTGAAAAGCTTGTTAGAAAAAATACGAATATGGCCATTTTAGGTTGTTTTGGAGACTTTGCACTAGTTACTCAAATTTTAATCTTTCTAATTAGAGAGGAAGCTACTAGTTCTCTCGGTGAAAATTTAGTTAATAATTAACTAGACATCAGTCATGTTTGGAAACTAACTGTTAGAAACTTAATGAATGAAAATGTTAATTAAAAAAAATAGCGCTTAGCACATACATGGGGTCCCTTAAAGCAGAAAATTAATCTTCAATGAAGACTACCGGATAGCTAAAATTTCTCAGTTTTCTTGCCGACACGAAAAGCTATCCACTTCAGAGATCGGCGCGGCACAGCCTCGCTTGTACTCGCTCCGTTACAGAAATCGCACCCAAATAGTTACTGTTCCGTTGTGTGTGAACAGAAGCATAGTATCCAGTATGAATTTCGTGCCGGTGCAGATATCCGGTATAGTGTAACCTTAGCCTAAGGCTATGTTCTCACATAGCTGGTGCTTGATGCAGCTCAAAAACCTCTAGAAAAAATTTACCTCCCACGAAGAAAGGTTTTAATAGGTTGATTGGTTTTTGAAAATAGACACATCAAAAAATATTATTTGTATTTTACAAGCATGTGTTAAAAACTCATTTTGTGGATATCTTCTTCTTTTTCAAGTTCATGCTTAGTGAAAGAACCAAAATATGACGACAAAAGCTTACTAGATAATCGGCTTGAAAAACTCCCTGAACTCGACTAAAACGCGTCTGAACTTCCAGAGGAGTTTAAGCAATCCCAATGAAAATTTTCGTGTTTATCAAACGAAAACGTCGCTACATTAATGTAACCAGTTTTCAAAAACACTGTAGCATTCGGCATTTATTAAATCAACAAGAACTTTTTTCTTCGTTTTACAATGCTCAGTGATAGAAAACACGGCTCACTTCGATTCGCCAGAGTTTATTCCGGTTTAGCTTAACATTGGCTTGCTCCGAAAATTTGAAGACAGGTGCTTAATTATTTCACTAAGGAGGGTACTCCAGCCTTCCGTTGCATAAATCATTACTAATCAGTTTTATGACCACTGGCCGGAATGGAATGTAAGGGAATGGAATGGAATGGAAGGAATCCTGAATGTTGTAACAAACGGCCAACCATAGCAGTTAACTCTGGACATCAGCGCAACCTACAGAATAGTTCGTTTATTGCGCGTAATGCATGATTTCCAAGAACAATGTCAATACGGTTTCTTGCGACGGTGTGTCTGTCGCTATTTTCTTGTATAATAAAACAATTATATTAGATTTGGCTTTTCTGGTATCCGCAAAAATCAACAAGGTCTTGGTAAGTGTTATCAGCCTCGACATCCGGTTCGGCTGATGACACTTAGCTCGACCGTGATTAGTCCGGATATCACACAAACCGTCCAATAACTGTTTAAAATTGACAAACTCTCCAAAAATTATTCATTTTTATAGATTCAGAGTCACGTTAAAGCCAATTTGAACCACATGACTAAGTTTTCCCTTTAGTTGTCGTTGACTGTAAATTACTTCTACACAAAAATGAGTGGTTTTCAAGCCAGTTTTATCCATAAGAATTGTTCTGGGCAGCTTTTATCTGCTTATTCTCTTTTTTTTTTTTTTTTTTTTTAGAAATTCTCAACTTTAATCTGACGTTTGCCGTTTGCGTTTGCCGTAAACGCGACTGTAAATCTATTGGTTGACGTAACAAACGTGACACTCATTCAGTTCTTGAAGAAGTGTTTCTAGGTACCGTGCGGGATGTTGGGAAAATGAGCCAAGCTGAACAGTCTTCTGGTCTGGTGTGTCGGCATTTTTTTGTGAATTATCAATAATGGAAGGTTCTTGAATGATTTGAATGATTGGCTTAGCATTGGTTTTGTACACGATGTACTGGAGTTCAATATGAAAGTCAAGTCAAAATGGTTTCAACTAGTTCAACCAGTTTGATTCTCTCTTTTTTTTTTTATTTCTTAACACCAACTATTGGTGATTGTAGATCGGAAACACTATTGATATTGATCGGAAACACTATTGATATTGTAGATCGGAAACACCTGATCAGACTGGAAAACAATCCAACACGGCGTTCCTCAAGGATCAATATTGGGACCTCTTCTATTCAACCTATTCATTAATGATCTCACTTATTCTGTCGACGATGCTAAGCTAAGGCGTTATGTTGAGGATACGACACTGTATCTATCACACCCTAATCAAGATGTGTTAGAGTCAAGATCTCACAGCAAGTTCCATGTGCTTAAGTCATGATATGGTTCACGTGTAAGTACTAAAGTATAAACGAATCTAAAACTAAAGTATTACCATTGGGTGACAATCCGCCATACTACGAATTGTTTGCTGACCGTACTAGGCCACCCTTGGAGGTGGTACACGATATGAAGTTACTAGGTCTAAACATTGACAGCTCCCTATCTTTTAAAGCCCATATTAAATCTGTATGTAATAAGGTTAATGTTAAACTCAGTGCTCTTAGGAGAGTTCGTAAATTCATACCTTCAGAAGTGATGGTTAATATTTACAAGGCCTTTATTTTGCCACACCTAGAGTACTGTGCTCCAGTCTTAGTTGGGTTATCATCTGGTCTTTCTAATAAACTGGAGCACTCTTTTGAACATGGCTAAGTCAACCTCATATAGCGACCTACTTACCTATGTTGGACTAAAGACCCTAGAGCATCGTAGATTTTCTCATGCTCTCTCCCTTTTTTACAAATGCTTATACAATATGGGGTCGAATAATATTAAAGAGATGGTCTTATTTCGTAATAATGAATATGACCTCAGAGGCTTCTGCAAGCTAAATCAGCCTACCTATAACAGTAGATTCATGCATAGGTCATATCATTGCATCACTGCAAGATTCGTACCTTTATCAAGTTTCATTGTCTGGACTAAGGCCGTTGTCATGGCAAAATCGCATCCTTAGGCAGGTAGTAATTTTGTCATTTTTGATCATTTTTTCTTAATATTTCTTATTTCCCCCAGTGAAATGTCTTTAAACTTTGCCACTTTATATCAACGATATTGCTTAACATTTTAAAGTGGAAAAAACATGGGGTCGTTAAGACGGTTTTGCCATTATTTTGAAATTTGTAATTTTTCTTAATGGAGGAGTTTAGCTCTTACAGATTTTGACAAGAAAAGGGCAGTACAAAGTTACCTCAACTGTTAAGAAATGAGGCGATTTTTAACAAAATTTACCGAAGGAAACGCGAGAAATTCACGGTTAATTAACTACGTTGAGGTCACAAAAATCCGAAAAACACGCGTGGTTCGGGGTCGTATGAGCAAAATACGCGCGCGAGCCATCACTCCCGCATGCGCATAATGCACAAAGCTACTGAAAACAGGTGGTTTCTTTGAAAAGTACGAAAGCCATTGTTTTGAAGCCGTTTATTAGTATTATTACGATGATATCTCGCCAGTTGAAAAAGGAGAGATACCAGATTAAATTTTGTACCTAACACTGAATGTTTTCTTCGAAGTACTCGACTATTGTAGCTAAAATTCGAACCGTGGTGGTCACTCGTGAGGATGGCGATCGTCGAAGATGAAGACGGTGGTTGTGCAAGGATCGCAATGAGCCCTTCATTTCCTAATCTGCTGTATACTGTTTGCAGATCGCCAAATGTCAGCCCACTTCCGGATACTTTTTCAACCTTGTTCTTCTTTTGGGATAATTTCGACGGCGAAGTTTTTCCTTAAAAGTCTGCTGTAAAAGATGGTGCCGATCTATAAATCGTCAATCATGTCCTCAGCTACACGTAGGTCTCGACGGACGACTATTGCTTTCGTCAAGGGTCAATCTGCGAGTAAAATTATTTCTCGTTGTGCAAAAACATTTTCTAGTGCATCTTACATGTGCGTTGAAGGACGTAGAAACAAGAAAAAATACAAGGATGTTGGTTCGTCAATGGGAAGGTTCCGGCGATTGGGAGGCAAGTTAAGTGGGAAACCTTTTTCTGATAAGTCTTTTAAGCAATGTGATACAATCGGCAAAACAAAAAAAATTTACAATCCCTGTATTCTTGTCTTAAAGCCACTTTTAGAATTTCTTAAATCAAATCAAATGTAAGAGAAATAAAGTGACCGAGGAGCTCCGCCAGTGAAAACAATCTTCAGTGTTTGTTCGGGAGTTGGCTCGAACTTTCAGATCTTTCCACTGACCGTGAACCAAAGGCCAGAAACTGAGCCACATTGCTTCCTTCTGGGTTAGTGTACTTACTTCTTTGTTTTCTTAGTAAAGTTTCCTCTCACCATTTTCTTCCGACTATTTAACGTTTGTCTACTTTTGAAGCGAAAGAATTGATGTCTTTGGAAAATTTCTGCTTTGTTTTTACATACAATTTACTCTTATATAGATCGATAGTGACTTGTAACCGGCATTGTCTCCTCTCATAAATGTTTGATCTACACCAATCAAACTTTTTGTACGATGAGCTTCAACAGAAAGTTAATAAAGTTTTTTGGGGGAATATTTCGAAACTGAAAGGCCATGTTTGTTTTAATTTTTGCGTGGACGTCGCGCGGATTTTAAAGCTCGCGCCACACTAGTGCTCAGGCTGCGCATGGCCAATTTACTCTAGGGAGCCACCTTAAGTCAATGCTGGATGAGGTCAACTTGACAACCGGAGTTGAGTGTAATAACTTTTGTACATAATATGGATTCCATATGGCTAGATTTCCTCTTAGCGTTATTGATTTTCGTATATGTTTTTTATTTTTATATCTTCGTGTAATTTTTTATTTTATTTTATCAATTTATTTATTTATTTTATTATTATTATTTTTTCCCTTTAGATATGTACTGTGTTTATAGGTTTATAGTGATTTTGGCACGTTCACGTTTAAACTAGTCTTCTACTCATCCGTGTAATGTGGATAAATAAAATACCTACCTACCTACTATTTGGGTTAGGGTTGCGAGACAGAGAAAAAAAGCTACATGTATACTTTTACAAACTAGACTAAAATAGTTAACAAAAGGCACTGAAACAATGATATAATGCAATTAATAATATGTCTTAGAACTAAGCCGAGTTTGAAAAGCAGTGCTATCTTATAACTCCCCAGCCCCTCCCCAAAATACATGAAGTGTTAAATCCCAGTAGAAAGTGCGGATACAGTAAACCTCGTTCCCAGTGTTCTCTCTTACAAAGCAAGAGAGAGGGAGAAAACCCTGGCAACGAGGTTGGGGTACAGAGTGTTCAACAGCAACGAAAACGTCAAAAAAGCAATAAAGGTGTGGTTACATTAGTCATTGATAACAACAATTTTGCAGGTGCAGCATGCTTCTTGGTACATCTCCTTCCCGTACCTGAACGACTACGACTTGAAACTTCCTAAGAGGACGTAAACGAGCAGCGACGAAATTTTCGATCTCTTCCTGAGCTTGAATATCGTTCGTAGGAATTCAACGCCAGAAGAGCTCGCCTACAACTGACGAGAGTCATTTGAAATAATCGCGATGAAGAGTGAAAGAACGCGAATTCAATTTTTATGCGACTTATTTGCTGCCTGTTGGGTATATGTAGCACCGGCAATTGGGGGCGTTATACTGGCTATTTGGGGGGGGGGGGGGGGTACTTTGATATAGCACGATCCTCCCAGCCGACCCGGAACTAGCCTAGGCTCATTAACTGTTTCCACTGTTTATTAATTATTGCAAATTTTACAGCAAGCAATATCCACTACCCGCAACTAGCAGATTAGCAAGTCGACACGCGAGCAAAACACAAGCAAAACTCCAGAAGAAGAGTAAAAAATGTTAAATAAATAATTAAAATAACAATAAATTCAATTCAATTAAGTTATTCAGTCAATCAAGTGGGCAAAAAGGGGAACAATTGGCGTGCGAAGCGAATTGAGTGAGGGTTACTTCTCCCTATTTTCTCGCCGTCTCCTCTCGATTATAGTAGGGACCTTACGATCCGACAACGGCGACGTCCATGAAAACGTCGCTGAAAAATAGATTTCGCATCCTTTGAAACTATTTCGCGATTATCCCAAGGCACCCTGTTACTTAAAAGAAGGCACTTTAGGTGGGGACCGCACCCGAGTTCAGACAGAGATGGTAGAATTCATCACCTTGCCATTCCCGTTCTCAAGTAAACTTACACTTTGGCCATTTTACGTCGTAGTTGTGAAGGGACGGCAAAGAAATGTACAAAAAAGCGTGATGTACGTGCACAGTTATTGTTTGCTCATTAAATCTATTGATTTTTTTTGGTTACCGCTGCCATCGCCTTCGTAGTTTCGTAAGGCCCCTGTTACCCTTCTCCAAAACGGAGAGCTTCATCACACCCTAACTCTCAAAGAAGGAGGGAATACAACTTGTAGAAAAAGAGGCTCTAATTGGGTTTTAAAATTTTGAGGTTTTACTTGTTTTAAACTTAAGTTTTTACAGTTCAACTCAAATTTGACCCGACCAGAACCTGCTAAAGAAGAATGAGAGCAGAGAGATTTAAGCACCCCTCAAGTGCTCTCATAAATAGAAAGAAGTCCGATCACAGACTAACTTAGTGCAGAATACATTAAAACAACGATCGATTAAGGACTATTGTCGGTAATATTCGACGTTTTCTCTGTCCGCTGAGTTACTGCGCAGTACGCCTGAAGTTGAAACAATCGGAACGTCACCTGCTCGCACAAGTTTTCCCATGTTTAAAGTATTCTGCATGTATTTATTTTGACTTCTGATTGGTTTACTGGATTTTCTGCTCGTAGTTTGATTGGCCAGACACAGGATTCAACATGTGAAGCCGTACCACACGAGCACATCTTCTGTGACACTTTTGCTACTTAAATTTCCGTAAATTTAGGAGACAAATTCGGTGGCCGAAAGCTAACGCCCCAGCTTTTCTGTCAAACAAAATCTGTCGCCTGTGAAAAGTCTCATTAGCAAGATCCCTGCGAGTTGTTAACACCCTGCGTTGGCTGTCATCGACATCTCTTCTGTTAATGTTCGCAGCAATTTCTGGCACGTTTGGAAACGATGGTTTCCGTCGTGTACGGCTGCAAGTAGATTTGTCACTCAAAAAACTGTCACATAAAATTTGTACGTGAACGGGACTTAAACTGCATGCTCTCCTTCTAAACAAAAGAACCATCATCTTGAAAGGACGTGCTGCTACTGGCTAGAGAGTCGGGCCCTGAAGGACCCTGGGACTGCTGCTGCTGTTTCCCACGTGACGACTGCCCAGAACTCCTTGCGTCCCACACCAGACTTTCTCCGACTTGCAAAGAAGGGCCGAGTTTGCTGGCCACATCAACAAGCTAAAGGGAAAAAAAGTAAACAATGAAAAAGAGTGATTCGTAAGGAAAAGCATGATGACATCCGTTTCGGTTACCTATTTTCTTTGCTGTAGTCTCTCCAATGTGTTAGCAGAGTAAAACGATTCGTTTAGGTTAATGTAAATTATCAGTGTCCTGGCACACAAAAAGACTGAGGCATGGGTAACGCATGCACAGTCGCAGCTGACCAGTCTAGTTTCACCTTTAGCTAAACGCAGTCTTCAAGCTCCGGGCTACTCATGTTCCGAATAGCCCAACTGATGAATTACGGATGGAAGAGGAGTGGATTTTTATAAATTGCAGTCCGGATTGGCAGTTGATTCATGCTGCGATCTTCTCAAGTGTCTCATGCACCTAACCTAATCATGGTTCATACAGAATTTGCGGGGGGAAATCAAGGACTTTTCAAGGACCAAAATAACTTTTCAAGGACTTCTTTCCCCTGTAATTTGACATAGAATGACATGACGAAAAGACCTTTCAAATTCGAAGTTGGGGTAGGGTTTGCTCATTGCAATACCTTCCCTCAGGGAGGCAGGGTTCCTAGGGTACCTCAAATAACGGAAAATGAACTGTGCCAGGAACACCGAAATCATAAGAAAACACTGTCATGATCACCAAGAAAATTTGCCTACTGCTGTGCTTTCAATCTTTCCTTTGCGCGAAAAACTTTGCTTTGACAAAGGTTAGTTTTATTCAAAGAGCTTTCAAATATTCAAAGACTTATGTGGAAAATTCAAGGACTTTTCAAGGATGTCCCACAATTTTCAATTTTCAAGGAGTTTTTAAGGACATGATGCTTTTTCAAGGACTTTTCACGGCCCGTGCGAACCATGCCAATATACTCATTCATGCCCCAATTTAAGAGATACCGTCTGTATATTCGATTAAGCGCCCGACCTCATCCTGTGGATGGGAAAGTAAGTACGCACACAGGCTCAAATATGAAAGCTCGACCCCTCCAGAAAATACTAAAGTGCCTTGTTACCTTACTAATAAACCTCACTACTTATTGACTTTGGTGACAATGAATTTGAAGTTGACTAAGTACTACTAGGAGACTTTCCCGAAGGCCGAGTTTTCTTAGTATCTCATAGAAACCGTTCGGTAAACGGTTAATATTCTGGTTTGGTAGTAACTCCACATTTTGTTATGATTCATTACTTTGTTGCAAAATAGGCTCACTTCTTACTGAATATGGTGAAAATTTAATAAGCGCTTAGCCTCGTATAAGCGCCCACTTTCAAGGCCCAAAAATAATTAAGTTCCCAGTACGCTTAATCGAATCAATATGGTATTAGTACTGCAATGAAACAGTCGCAGTTATAACTGAAATCAGCAGCCGAATTAAAAAATAATCCTGATAAATCCGTCTTGGCCAGGGTTTGACCACGAACACGATGGTCAGAGTTCTGTGTGACGGGCTCATGGAAAAATAACGCGCGAGATAAGCGATATGCGCGAGACAGGAGCACATGAACGAGTTGGATAGCAGCGAGAAACAGAAAAGCCTCTGATTACCTTGGCCTTGAATCTCACTGTCATGCAGACCACAATTGTCAAACGCGTCAAATTGGTTATTACAAAAGTGACCAATGGCAAGTTAGCAATCATGTGCTTAATAGTTTTCCCGTTAATCATGATGGCATTCTCTAGCCTGCGAGAAAGCTCTCCAATTATGGCGAGCGAAGGGAGGCGCGAGTGATTTCTATTGCGTGCGGCTCTCGCATGACTTTCCGCGATTCCCCAAATAGTGAGCTTACACGCAGGCTAGGCATTCTCTTTGGAAACTAAGGGGCCTGTTTACATGGAGGTGGGGGACCCAAGGAAGGTGAGGTGACTCGCTTAGGTGGGGTAACCCGCCCGTCCATATAATCTCTCATTTTAATTTGATCACGTTTACATGATAGGTGGGGTGACCCGCCACATGTTACCTCACCTATCTGGGGTCCCCCACCTCTATGTAAAGGGGCCCTAATGCAAATACATGTACCTCTTGGTCAATGTCACTCCCCTTAACTGATCTGGCGGTTTCCATCTTTTTTTCGTAAATACTGAATTGCTTTGCAGCTTCTTTTCGCTCCCCTGAGTTGTAGAGGAAGATGCTAAAATTCAAGTTTATCGATGGATCGGTGCTGGAAATAGAAAAAAGAATCGATTTATTAATCGACTTCGAGGTTTGAAAATGAACATTTACACTAAAATAAATGTATAAAGGTAATACCTTAGACCTTAAACCTTTTTGTCACCTTAAACAAAATCCCACAAACTTTATCCCATAATGGCGGCAAATTTTGTGGGTCATGTAGCAGATCTCCTAACCCTAAAGGCCAATTGGTTCGATACCCTAACCGTGAAACAATGGGAGGTAATGATAAACAATGATGTGCTATTGTTTTCTGCGACCAATGAGGAAACACCTTACGAGCAGCTCCTATATTACTGAATTTTGTTACTTCTTTACAGTCAAACCTCGCTCAACGGACACCCGCTTAATATGGACACCTCATTATTCCGACAGTTTGCTTTGTCCCTGGGGAAAGAAAGCCCAGACACTTTCTATGGCCCCCACAGAGTCCGTACATGTTGTATTAAGGGACTGGTCAAAAAGTATAGGGGGGGGTGGGCTGGAGCATTTGGAAATGTGGTTGATAAAAAACACATGACCCACCCCCTCCCTTCGGCACAAAAATGACTGACCCACCCCTAAAGCAAGATTGGAAATTGCATGACCCACCCCCTAGTTAAAACATGGATGTTTGGTTTCCTCTAAATAATCCAATAAACCCTTGTTCTGTGCTTGACAAAATTTGTTGATACACTGCTACAACCAAAATCAAAATCACAGAAATCATACCTTTCACTGAAAAGACAAATATCAAAAAACCGAACCTTTCTCGTTTCGATGGAAGCCTTCATTGAACAAGCAAACTTACATCACCCAACTACTGAATTCACGGCCGAAACATTTGACACTGAGACTGCGTTTTTAGACACGGTTGTATACAAAGGCACAAGATTCAAGGAAAATCTATCCTTGATGCAAAGACACATTTTAAACAAACGGAAACCTTCTTGCACACACATTTCACCTCGTGTCACCCTCCAAATGTTAAAAAAGGATTTGTCAAAGGAGAAGCCTTGAGAATCCTACGAATAAACTCCTCAGAAACAACCTTTGAGGAAAATAATTCAAATTAAAAAAAAACGCTTGATGGACGGAGGCTACCCACAATCTTTGATAGAAAACCTACTATCAGAACTCATAAACTCATCTAAACTAAACTATCTAAACTATCTTAACTCATAAAACAAAACAACAAGGAGGAAAAAGAAATATTGCCTTTCCTGACACAATACCAGCCCTCAGTGTCTACTATAAAGGAAGCTTGAATGAAAAAATGGAATCTTATACAAAACCAACCATAACTTCAATAAATTTTTTAAAGAACCACCAATCATTTCCTTACAAAAAAGGAAAATCATTAAAGGACATGCTCGTTAGAATAATAAAAAAAAAAAGGTTGTGCGGCCTGTCACCCTTTGTATTTTCTCGCAAAACAGGTTTGTGAGTATTTTAGCAATAATTCCAGCTGGCTGTGTTTTATATAACAAGTGTAGTCAACTGTCTTGTTAGTAGTTAGTGCCTATCTATGTAATAAAATAGGGTGACCCACCCCCTAAGGGTAGCTGAAAATTGCCCGACCCACCCCTTGCACAAGGCTCAAAACCTCACGACCCACCCCCTCTCTGCTCGAGCCCACCCCCGCCTATACTTTTTGACCAGTCCCTAACGGGGTTTGACTGTAATTTCCTGACAATAGGCCCTCGATGTCTCGTTTCACAATAAAATTAGTTCTTTTGAATCCTACGGAATGATGCAGTTGTTCAAAAGGTGGATAATGCTATCCTTTGGATAAATGCTCCTGTCGGAATTGATTTTATCATTTCCATTTCCATTTGTCCAGTCGGACAAAAAGAGTTTTACTTTTTATCACCGGCGACCGTTACTACACTTGACTTACCTGTCTAACATTGCTGCCTGTTCATATGCATGTCTTGCATTTTCCTGGTCGTCTAAGTGCGTCAGAGCAACTGAAAAATAATACAAGACAAAGATATACATAGCCTGCGAGAGCAGACGCTTTTTTCGGCTCTTGTTTCACCCGCCAAGAATGCGTCTGCTCTCGCAGGCTAAGAAGCGCAAGGTAAAAATTGACCTTATTTAAGTGTCGCAACATTTCTAATCAAGAACACTTTTTTGCGTCTCTCTAATCCCCTCTCCCCAAGAGAAGGGGCAGCCGGTATTAAAAGCTAACTGTACGATGTGTGCTATAACTGAAACAGAGGTAGAGGAAGAAACATTCGCGGAAATCTCCCCTTATTCTTTCCAAACAGTTGCCCCTTCGAGTTTACTGATGAAAGAAGGATGAAGGAGACAAGACCATAACGGCTTTACGTCACCGCCCAATGACGAGATAAAACTTGTTCAACTGTAATTTACAAGTGTAACAACTGTTTTACGGTCTGACAAAAATGGCCAGACTAAAAATTTTATTAAATTGACCCATGATCTTAAACACAGCCAGCACGATCTTGCCAGTTTTACCAAACTTACCAAGACACGATGTGGTTGGTTTTCTAGCCGGGGTTTAAACACAGGTTACCCACTCAGCAGACCTGCGCTATTTAAAGCAGTAGCTAGGCCAGAAGTGTTGGCCCAGGGGCCCGTTTCTCAAAAGTCCCGAAACTTTTCGGGCCCGGAGAGCTGTTTTATGTTTGTCGTGTTTGCAATAAAAATCAAAGTTTTAATAATTATTTTGAAAATGATGCACGCAATAAAAACTATAAGTTAACGAAGCAAAATTGACGGGTTTGTGAGCCAGGAACTTTGCTACTATTCCAGAACCTTTCGAGAAACGGGCCCCAGCTCTGGCGATGGAATACGCGACCACTACAGGCCCCTACTTTAACAGATGGTTAGCATTAGATAACATCGGGTGAAGCCAGAATAAACACCTTATGAGGTTTACACAACGCATTTTATATTATTCTCTTAACGTAACGATACTGGAGCAGAACCCAACTAAACTTTGTAGAACTGCTGAAAATTCTGGATGCAGGTTATGAAGCACATGACTCGGGTTCAAAATATCCAAGTTCTGATTATTTATGTTACAACAAAGCAAAGTTCGACTAAGCTGTTCTTCATGTAATTTACTGAAAGAAATAATCTGGCTTCAGCCGAGGTTGCCTAAATGCACGCGTGTTCACACGGAGAAAAGGGGTACTTACTTGCCAGCAACATGAAAAGATGACCATGTTTTGGTTTGAGCGTAATCGCTGCACTAAGAAAATGAAAAGCAGAGGCATATCTGAAAAACATGATGTCAAGGAAAAACTTTTTGGGTCTACTCTTATTGGATGGCACAAGCTCAAGACTCCTCTTATGGCACTGATCTTTCGGCGTTTTTCTAAGAGGTAACAGTTTTCTATTTAACCAAAACAACTGGAGTGCAGACGAGTCAGAGAAACCCAAAAGAGGCACGGAAGGGAACTTTTGTAACCTGCGATAGGCGTACTTTCTTCTCGAAGGAGCGCTTAAGTCTGCAACAGAACAAAGGGAGGGGAAGGAACGACCGCCTGATCGCAGGTTTGCGAAAGCCTTAGACCACGAGTAGTCGTCCCTCTTCCTCAGAGACACGCGCGACGAGCGGAAAAATAAAATCATGCAAATTAATGATTAAAAGGGGGAGAGATAGTCCCCAACTCCCACCATGTGCTCTCCACCTACTGTGACTCAAAAGAAAAATAAGTGACTGCTAGCTGTCTAAATAGACCTGCACTGTGGCTTACACTTAGCCTGAGATCATGCCCTCTCCCTATTATCCCTTTAAGTCTTTCACGGGAAGAGGGCATGATACATTTCTCTGTCGGATCACATGTAAAAACGCCAGAATCTGGACTTTTTTCTGATTGGATAGGAAACAATACGGATGATTTGCGCTGTTCCAATTGGCCAAAATGCCGCCATCCGTTAGTTGTTGATTTCAGTCTGCATTTTTGCTTGCGTCATGAGCAGTGAATACACACGCGAGTTCGTTTTAAAAATTTCTGCCGGCTCAGTTTTCTTTAATTTGAAGAATGCCTAAATAGAAATTTCACCCATTGAAATATTTTCCATCTCATCGTATACTAAAAAGTTGCAGTCAAAACTTCACCGATCATTTAAATGCAATTTGATACCGGCTACAAGATATAGAAGCGACAAACGGGTTCACTTTTCAAATAATCAATTCATGAATGGAATCTTGACCTTGTTTGACTGTAATTCCTCCTTCAGAAACCTGCGAATTATTCTCAGCGATCTTCGCTTTCACAACACCTTTCAGTTCGTAAAATATGGTGCTTCAGCCTAATTTTTTTTTCTCTGCTTTCGGCACAGAACGAAGTCAACGAGCTTTAACCAGTAAATTCTTTATTATTTGTAGCTCTTAAATAAAGTTATGGCAGCTCCAGCTAGCAGTATTTGAACACATTTAAAATTCCTTTTAGGAAGCGCCATCTGAACATGGACGTACTTAAAAATTTTCTTTTCCCTAAAATTGATTTTAAAAGAGACATTATTCGCGCCAAAATTTGATTCCCGTATGGTAAACGCTTATTGGCTAATAACATGACAGGTCAAGGAGACGTTAGATTATGTAAATTAGGGGGCGGTTAACGGCTCGTTAAATGAATGTATCAGGCGTTATTTTTTCCCCTCTCGAGCCAAAGAAACAAAGAAGCCAAAAAAAAAAACGCCTGATCTCAGGTTAGCTTACACTTGGCCCCACTTGTCCAGAAAGGTAGCTAGTGCTATCCAAGGGATGGATCAACACGCTGTTATCCGAAGCTTTCAAATCAAATCAAATCAATCTTTGCCTTTAAAACGAGTAAGGCTCATTACAGCACGCACTAAGCGATGTGATTTTAGCAGGGTAAGAGTGACTAGGTCAAGTTATTTGCTATTAATTTTTAAAAACAACAACTGACTTAGAAACGAAATGGTCCATTGTTGTTATATAAGACCATATTTAGGCATTCAAAGTGTTTCCTGTTGTCTGTTGCTAGGGTTGGCAAGGGTGGACATGGATTGAAACGCGAAGCAGTCGGGCTAACCTTTTCAAGTTTTAATGCCATGCCCCAGACAACAACGGCCACCTTGAGGACAGAAAAAAGTGGCCGTTGTAGAGAGGTTTTAAACAAGAGTCAATGTATGGATTTTTTTGTCTGTCGGGACGAACAATAAAGTTGCCGTTAGCGGAGGTTCGGCTGTATTCAATATCTTCCTCGGAGCTCTACTGAGGCATTTTGTGCACGGATAATAAGGCACTTCAGGGAAGAATTGATATAAAACAGTAATACCTTCGTGAGATAGCCCTTTCATTTTCTATGAGAATCTCTCACTTGAACAAGAAATTAGTGTCTGCTGTCCGCATTAATGGGTGTGTGTGTTCAACGCGATGAAAGAGAACTACCAACATGTAATAACGAGGTGTCCGTATAGCGGGGTTTGATTGCACGTGACTACAATCGGCGACTAAATTGTTGAGACATTGTACTTAAATAGGGTAATTTCGGAGAACAAAAGAATCCGCACCCCTCCCCTGTCCCCTCCATTCAAAGTTGGGGTGTTTGTTGTTTTCTACAGGTAGCTAGAACAAGGGCACAACATTGCACGGAGGGGATGGGGGAGGAAAGCTATATTTCCTCCTTTTGAAGTTAATAAAACGTAAAAAAGCCCAGTTTTGGGTGAAGCGTCTCAACTCATTTTGTCGCCGATTGTAGCTTCAAACCTAACTTATCAGTAAAAAAAAAAAACGGTATGACACTCAGTACTTTCAAAGGATACTGTTGCATTGTGAGGTGAATGATTCCCAAGTTGTAGAGAATTTTCCATTCAAATGGTGCCATGTATGTAGCACGTTTGAGACAACTGATGGCCTAGAAAATAATCATAAAAAAGTCAGTTGGAACAGATCGCCACGCAGTTTCAAAATTTTAAAAAAATTACACAATTAGTTCGGCAAACGTTTACAAAGCAATCCTTTAAACTATTACCTTGACTAACTTCCCTCTTAACCCCTTCCCCTCTCCTGTCACAAAGAGCTTGTGTTTTGGGTCATGTTTGAAATGATGACAAAAAAGCTATTACTTTTTCCATGTTACTGATTTTAGAGGAGAAGGGTAGCTTCAAAGAGGCATGGTACAATTTGTATGCCAGTTACAGACTGTATTTCAGAAGCTACACAGCTCATAATATGGTGGAACGAGCTTCGTGTAGACTACAGATGCAGTCAAGTTATCTCCTACACAGTGCTGGTGTTACAGAACAATCTCATATTTAATATCTAGTTTATGGACTTACTTATCAAGCCAGAGGTCAAGATGAATCTCAGATAATGGCCAAGAACGAGGCCACTATCCAACCATTTTGACTAAACAAGCGTGTTCAATGAAGGACTAATCATATGGCCACATAGAGACCTTTTTCGTTCTGTACCAACTCGTGAAATCCCCAGTGAGCAATGTAGGCCCATCTAGCCCCCTCGGGTAGCCAATCAGACCGACCAATCTGAAGACAGGATTTGCTTTATCCTGCCCCCACGCGGATTCAGCTATATAATAAAAATCGTTACTTGTTCAAACTTACTGACACGTAATGATAGTAATATGATGGTGAATTTCTAAGTCTGGTGAATACATGAGAAAGATGATTATTCAATCAAAGACACAGGCGGCTTGGAGGAAAAAATCCCAAAAACTCCCAACAGGAGTTAAACCTATGACCGTCCGGTTACCAGTCCAGATGCTCTAAAGGTGATGTTACACGAAACGATTCGCAACGACGATTTTTAACACAACACAGCAACATTGTTGCGACATTGTTTCGAATATTTACAACATTGTTCCAATATTGCAACGATGTGTTGCGTTAAATATCGTCGTTGCGAGTCGTCCCGTGTAACATCACCTTAACATTAGGGAGCTCAACCCTTTATAAAGCCCCAGTATCAACATACCAATTCTCCACACTGATCTCAAAAAACTTCTTAAAGACTCAGTTGAGAGAATTTGATAAAGGATCAAAGCATTTTCCCTGAGTTGATCATTTTATTAAATCTCATAACCTTTTCTTTTGATAATGTATTGATATTGTAAGGAGAAACTTGATGTTGAACCAGTCACTCTTGGGACAACGACGACGGCGACGTCAACGATAACGGCAAAAAAGCAATAAGTTTAGATTGGCTAAACAACAACTTTGCACGTGCATCACGCTTTTTTGTACATTTCTTAGCTATCGTTGCACGACTTCAACGTGAAAGTGCCTAATTTCATGTTCTGTCGAGGACGGGAACACAAAACAACAATTTTCTGTTTCTTTTCCTGAACTTTGATACAATCCTTGTAGAATTCAACTCCAAAGAAATTTGCCAACATTTGACGGACTAAACAAGATGGAATAGGCGCGATGAAGTTTTAGGCAACGCAACTTCACTTTTTAAGCGACGTTTTCGTAGCCGTCGCTGTCGTCGATGCTTAAGCTCCCTACTAAGCTACAAAAGACTTGTGGGAGCTAAGGCCACTCAGCACTAGGTTCACTTACCGCCACGTATTTCTTTTTTCCAAAGAAGCACATGCCAATGTTGCTCCACAAGTGAGGTGACTCGGGTGTGGCGGAGGCGGCGATCCTGTACTTTGTCAAAGCAACATCGTAATCACCATGTGACTGAATAATAGAACCTGCTCCTAGAATAGCCTGGAATTGGAAAAGCAAACTCTATCAGCCTTTTTCTCAAAGAAACAATGAACCGGAAACCAAGAAACAAGGACTGGCACATTTGGCCATCTGTACGCAAATTCGATTCCCAGGTGTGAGCTCAAATCCTTGTTTCACTTATTTCCTTTCCATGAAGATTTAAATACCTGTAAAACGGAGGACTGGTGGAGAGAAGAGGTGGTAAAATGAGTGCACAGTCAGCCTCAGGTTTGCCAGCCAGACCATGGTTGTTAAAACGTTGGATAGCGCCATCCAGCAGATAAATATACAGCTCTTTCGAGAAAGGTTGTCGCAAAAAATGTGCACGCGACAAAACCGAACGGTAATATGAGTTATGATCAATACGCTGTTCCTGACACTGTAGCTGTCGAACTTACTTTTGTTGTTTTCCTTTTGCACTCGCAAACATAGGTCCATGGCTTCTTGTGCCATTCTTTCAAATTTCTTCGAAGAACAGTGAACTCAAAAACACCCACCATACCTTTCGGGATTGTCGCGGGCACTTTTTCCGACAACCTTTCTCGAAATAGCTGTATTAGGGAGACTAATTGCGTTCTCTACTGCGTAGCAGGCACTGATTTGTTTTTTAGGGCGAAGGAAGAAATCTCGAGGACACTAGCAGGCTATCCGGTGGACAGCATTATCCACATTAAGCAACTGAGGCCAGATGATGACTGTTCCAGGTGAACTACAATACCGCTAAAAATAAGAGGACCCTTAAGCATCGCCTTTTTGTTTACCCATGATACGAGAGATTTAGAATCTCACTTTCGGGAAAATGGTTATTCTTAGTTTTCCACGTGCATGACTAGGTTTTCCCTCAACTCATTGGGCCAGTTATTTAAACGGAGTTTGGCCAGTGTTTAACAAAACCGCGTTCTAATCCACTATCAGTTCGCCAAACACTTTTATGTAAACACCATCTATCGTGAACAGTTTCATTAATGCATATAATATAGACCAGAAAAGCATTTGCCCTCTTAGCATAACCCACTAAGAAAGAGATCCGAAGGTTCAAAGATTTCATAAGCCGCAGTCTAAGTTAGAAGTAGTTTAAATAATAACTGACCCATTGTCTTCTCTGCATTATTATGTACAAAGAGGCTTGGGGCAAGTTACTCGCAAGTGGCCTATTTACTAACTGCTTTTAGAAAAAACTTTGCAAGTGGACTCAAAAACTAATCTTAACTACAGTACATGTATAGACCTAATTGTGAGGAAACAGTTTATTTTACAATGTAGGCTTATATCTGTACCTTCACATTACTTGGGTCGTAAGTCAAGGCATTCCCAAGATGCTCAAAAGCTTTTGAGGTCTGTCCCAGCTGAAAGATGCATGTAGACAGTGAAAAAACAAAATTATTTAATATTTATCTTGCAATGCAAGAAACAGTACAGTGTAGTTTAAGGGAAACAATAACAATAATAATAATAATAATAATAGTATCAAGCTCTCTCATGTACACTGTACAGTACCATTTATTTACCTGAAGGTAAAGAAGACCCAGTGTAGTCATTAAGTCAGGGTTTTCAGGTGAAAATCTGCAGATACAGCAAAAGCTCAAATTGTTAATGAAAAACAAAGATACTAACAAAATAATTGGCTAAAATCTTCTTGCAGTTTAAGGAGAAGTAGTACTACTGATCACTGGGCCTTTGGTACTTATAAATGGCTCCACCATCCACTGTCCTATAAAGGTATGGGCTTTCACCCACTGAATTACCATTCACTGCCCCACCTCCTTCGTAAAGTGGGTATAGATATTTCTGGGACCATTATTGCATCCATTTGAATGTGCAGCTATAGTTTTGCAAACTCTTTGGAATTTGAATGAAGTACATTGTAAGTCGTGGAAGAAGTACCCCTTCTCATGTCATATTAGCCTGTTCCAGGTTCTGAGATAGTCGCGTCCACGAAATGGAGAAAGCCCAAACATGACAATAAAATGGGAGGAACAAACCACGCACTCATATTTTTGCATGTGTTTCACTTACACGTGATCCCCACTTATAGTATGTATATAAAATTTATTATGAACACCGTACATTATCAGCATAAATTATATGAACTGGAACTTACTCTATTGCTCTTTTGAAAATATCAATGGCTGATTCCGTGTCGCCCTCTAAGAGGAGAACTTTCCCAAGCTGAATGAAAGAAGCATCATGGCGGTGGTACTGCAAAGCATGCTTCAGGCAATCTTTAGCCTACAATGACAGTGAATATTAAGGTCTTGGTAACTGAAAATTTTAGTACATTGCTCGATTTTGTTTTTTTTTTTATTTTTGGCATGAGTGGGTCCTAAATTTTATTTTGGCAGAAAAAGAAAACCAGAAAGTGCTTTTTAACCCCTCTAAAATGAGCCTTTTCTGAGCTAACCAGCCAAGCATGGACCTCGCGCTAAAATAATCTTTAGAGCTGATTTTCTCTCACTCTATTTTAGGCCCAAAAATCAAAATTCTCCGACCTCCAGTTGGGACAGGTTTTAAGCTATCGCTTTGAAACTTTCAGATATGATGGATAATGATATAGACTCAAAAAGGGTGTGAGGAATTTTCCGATTTCCCTTTGTAACTCATTTTATGTCAGTTTCTTTGCATAAATCGCGCTCAAGATTCGACTTTTTAGTTTGAAATGCAATAATTCCGCTAATACGAAACATATGCAAATTTCCTCTTACCCTTTTTTAGGTCTTTTATCTGTCAATCAGATGCAATAAAAAGGAAGTGAATATTTACAACGCGAAAGGGCTGGAGCTTCAGCAGTAAACTTGATACCCCTGAGTTTGAGAGCAAAAAACTTAAGCGCCTTTTGAAATTCGATAAAATAAAATCTTTTATAAGGTAATTTAGTCTTTTAGCTTTAACTTGATATATAACTTGCCTTTGTAGTGAAAATACTCGCGCGACTAGAATTTTTTTATGTGGGCACCTCGTTTTCCTTTGGGATACTTGTACTGGACAATACCCTTTGCTGCACAGAGACATATTGTAATATTATGTATGAAGTATTCATGAATTTTTTCAATACTATATATGTCAATTATTTGAACCTGCCAATTACATGTAGTTATTAAATTCAATTTAATATAAAAAATTCACACTTAAATTATTGGTGCCAGTTTGTGTTGTAGCCTGAGACAAGAGGCAGAAATTTGCAACGTCACCAGCAGTTTCCCTGCAATTGATCCTATGCAGGGAATCACTGGTGACACTGCAAGTCTACAAGTCAACCTCTCATATTAAAGTTCTTAAAAGTGTGCAAAGCGAACTTTGAACGCATGAGGTAACGCAGCCACTGAGCGAGCGATGAAGTCTCAAGGTCGACTCGTTATTTTTGCCTGAATGATTTGAATTATATTATAAACTCACGCTGGAAAAAAAATGATTGACATACACTGTATGCTGTGTTGGGAGTGGTGTAAATAGTTCATCACTCACTGTCCTATTGGTCAATTGTCAAAATGTCACCAGTAGAATTTTCGACCGGTGAATTTCGCGCCAAACAGGTATGAAAAGTCCTTTACAATGGCATAACCATCCAGGAAAAAAAATTAAGGACTTTTTAATAGAAAGTCTAATGACATTGCAAAATGTCCATTGTTTTGTCGGGCTATGGGTGTTGCAGTGTCCTGGGGATAATTTACATGAGCATAATTTGTTTTATTTCTCTTGTTTTAGTGTGTGGAGTTAGTCAAAATAATAATTGTATCAGTACCCACCTTTTCAAAATCCTTTAGATACATATAGCAAACACCTAATAAAGGACCAATAATATTGAGAAACAAATTCTTGACATTCAATAAAGTGGCACAGTATGCAATGTAATTAAAGATTGGGTGTCATACAGACAAGTACTGGTAACATCAACTCAACCACTGACTTGCTACACTTTTTTCATACTTATCAATTGTTATTGGATGAGGCTGAGTATGATACACTGTATGAGGAATTATGTAGATAAAGGAGTTGTTAAATCGACCAAGTCCAAAGGAGGGTATTCTTGATCATCTCTTGCATAAACTTGATACCTTCCTCTGCATGTACTTAAGACAACCATAGTGCAAAGAAAGTCAGCTTTAAGCTTGCCATTCAGACAAGATGTAGCAAGCATGTACTAGCAAAAGAGTCATTTTAACTAGCCAGAAAACAATTTTGACATGCAGGATTAATAGTTAATTTACTGATTACACCATTAGTTAGTTAATTACTTGCCAAATAAATTCATGGCACAAAAAAAAAATAGAAAATTAACAATTTCACTTTCTCTGATCATCTTAAAACCACTTTTTAATCCACATGAATTTATTGAATTTCAACAATAATTATTTGCCACATAGAACTTTAATCTGTAATTTGAATTCTACGAAAGTTCACTTGCCTGTCAGACAAGTTAAGAACAGAATTCACTAGCCTGTTGTCACAAAATCCACTAACCCCAGGCTACCAAACACTACTTTTTTTGCATGCTTGATAACACAAAATTATCAGTCAATAATTATTACCTACTACATGTACACGTAACAAAAACAACAACATTAACAATATCAAATCGATCAACAAACAATCTTAGTCTTACCTTGATTATGGTAGATTTCCTAAAATGAAATATTGCAAAAAAATGAAACTTTAGTTAAATCTTTTCAAACACAATAATTAGCAAGTGTATAAGCAAAAGGTCCAAGTAAAATTAGGGAATAATTTCATGTGCCTCTATTCAGACCCACAATCGCAATCGGCAACAAAATGAGTTGAGACACTTCACCCAAAACTGGGCTTTTTTCATTTCACTGACTTCAAAAGGGGAAAATATAGCTTTTCCTCCCCCATCCACTCCATGCAATGTTGTGCAACTGTTTGAGCTACATATAGAACACAACAAACACTTCAACTTTGAATGGATGGGACAGAGGGGGGGGGACGGGCTGGATTCTTTTGTTCCCTGAAGTTACCCTATTTGAGAACAATGGCTCAATAATTTTGTCGCTGACTTTAGCTGAGTGTGTATAATATGCAAGGCATGCGAGCCATGCGAATCAACAAGCAAGCCATGTGAGTCAGCATAAAATAACTTTGTTTTTAACGTAAACTACAAAAAAACTAGCCTCTGTAACTAAGTAACGAGCAGCTTCTCCATCAGTTGAAAAATCTACCTTCCCAGTCAATGACTCTGCATTTTCTGCTATATACTGAACTGCAGAAGCGCATGCATCTCGACCTGCAAGGAGTTCATTTTGCTCTTTTTCTTCCCGATCAGCTGCAGTGGGACCCTCCCCGACTTTTTTTGTAACCAAGAACTTGGCGCTTGATTTCAGCAGCTTCAAGAATTGCAGCTGAACTTTCTCAAAAATTAATGACAACAAAAAAAAAAAAAACTTACCTTGACAAAAGTTGAAAAAGATGAAGGCAGATAACAAAACGATATTGAAAGGAGAGCGAGGATAGCAAAAACTTGTGCCAAATAGCCAAAAGCCGAAGAAAGGAAAATGGACTGGGAACTAACATCTGTCTCGCATGGCTCACATGATGACTCGCATGACTCACATGACTCGCTGGCTCGCTGGCTCACAGTTTGTCAAGACCCACTTTATCTGGGCTTGTTTTGGTGTCCTACATTTGTTTTGAATCTAAATGACAGCTCACCAAAAAGTTGAATAATGTGTATTACAAACACTACATACATACCCAGTCTTTGGTGCTTAATTTTGCAGCCTCATTGTACACTTCAAGAGCAGCTTTGTGACGAGCAAGAAGGAAGCTAAAGAAGTTAACTAAGTTGTTAATATTAACATGGCATAGAGAGTTAATGTAAAAGTTACTCAAAGTACATGTAATATATCAAACAAGAGACTGTGTTTCATCACTATATATTAAACACTTTATAGAAGAGCTACATGTATGGCTGAAAGTATGAACTGCAGTCAAGTTTCAAGGTGCTTGATATTAAAGTGAGATAACCCATCAAAATCTTGATGGGTTAATATCTCATTGCAATTTCAAACACCTTGAAACTCGAATGCATTTCATACATATTACTCTTTACATGTAAGTACACTGTAAAAGGATTAATGTTTAGAAGAAACATTCATGTAAAGATGCAATAAACAGGTTTTGATCTGATTTCCAGACACTCGTGAAAACATGCATTTCTTTTGTATTTCTTTATGAATTATTCCCAATGATCAGTTTGAGAAAGCTATAACTCGAGGCTTGTGATCACTCTCAATTATTTCACGTGGTTGTTTTAATCTTCAACTTGTCAAAAATACATCTCCATGCAGAAGTCCTGACATTATGAAAACCAAGTGCCATGAAAATCCGTAAAACCCAGCCACCACAAATGCAAGCTGCATATCTGGGATTCTCGTTACATCTTCCATACACCCCTCCCCCACCCCCTTCCCTTTCACCTGGGTCTAAACAGGCAGAGGGTTGGATGGGTGTACACCGACATCATGAATGACCAAAATTTCTCGCATCCATACAGGTTTCTGCAGGGAAACTAGAGGCTGGATTGCATGCTTCATTTTCTCTATCTTGAATGACATGATTGCCATTAGCAAGGCTAATCTGTCAATGGATTATCAACAGTGCGTGTATCTGGAACTTACAAAGTACTTAATTGTTCAATTTACATGCATGAAAGATTGAGAAAACCAAAACAATAATTATTACTAGGGAGCAATTAGACATTTAACAAAGCTGTGAAGACTTACAGAGATCTTGCCACTTGCTTTAGATTGTCAGCACTTTGGGGGTTGATTTGCACAGTCCTTTGGAAGAGATCTAATGATTCTTGAATTTGTCCTTCCTGACGCAGAATTAATGCTACATAAAATAAAAGGAATAAAACAGCAAAGGAAAATCTTAAAATATCACATTTTCTTGTTCTGTTCTTTAAAAGGTTGCTGTCATTACACATACATTGTACCTATATACATGTACATGCATGCATGTATTGAATTTCTGAATGGTATTTAGTAGTCCAGCCACTCTCGAAGACAATTTTTCACAATAGAAGAAAAAAAAGAGCAGTTAACAGTAGAGTACAATGCAATGTACACTTACATGTAAGGGGTACATTGATCAACAGAAAATCTGGACCTTTCCAGATTTGTCAACATGAGCAAACCTAAAAATGGATTTGTGTGTATGTCTGGATCTGTCATTTATTTTGAAATCCACAATTGCAAGAACTAATTTTCTGCCCCCCTCCCCCGTCCCCCTCAATATCCCCAGATTGTTCCTTTACGTGTACCTTGTACATACAGGGCATATTCACACATTCCTTGGGTTTCCTGAAGTTGGTCACTTACGAGAGCCTGAAAGAATAACGATGGTTAATTGCTGATGCAACAACATGAAAACTTTAATACCCTTGGAATACTGTATGGATCATAAAAAAACGTCGTTTACAACTCACCTTACATCGACTGTATTCTTTCCTTATGTAATGTAGGTGTATTAGCCAATTCCTTCTTTCATGAACAGGTAAATCGGGGGCTAAATAGAAGGCAGAAAGTTTTTTAGGTTGTATCATTCAAATCAAATTGATTCCAGAAGTGAAGTTCTGATATATTGGCTATAGACAATCTGTTTTACGGTCACTTTGTTCCATGGTCAGATTGTTCTGAGCCAGATCATACCCACAACATTCCACAGTTTCAGTGTAAAATGCTTTTTATGCTTTTTATCTGCAGCTTAAAGAACGAGGTATACAGTCATACACATAAGTAACGCCCTCGTTTTTTTCGTAGCTTAAAGACTTGTGAAAAGTACTGACTAAATTGTGGAACGATCTGGCTGTGGCCATGGATACCTACAATCTGATAACTTTACAATCTACATGTATTAAAGCTTAAGTTTATAGTCTAAACCATACAACCAACATGCAAAATTGGGACTAAGGCAGCCTTTATTAATATCTGTAAAAACGTTTTATTTATTTATTTATTTATTTATTTTGTCACTCACAAAACCTTATACAACATGAACAAAAGTTGTTAATTAAATTATAAAATCAATGTGACAAGGAAGCCTAACGAAGCTTGAAGCTTATATCAACAGGCTTCCTTCAACCACCTAATGAACTAAATTCATGGCTGAGTGCAGAGTGAGCCAGATCAGAAAATTAAGCAACAGCTCGGCTATCAGTGAGATAATTCTTTAAATTTTTTTAAAAAACAAACATAGAAGGAGAGCTAATTGGTGAAATAGGCAACGAATTCCAGATTTTAGGTCCTCAGTAAAGGATACTGAATTATCGTTATCTGATACAACATCAAAATGGAAAGAAAAGCTAACACTCCAAAGATAAAACTAGACAAGACACTACAATACTATTAAACAAAATACAAGGGCTGTCATAAAACATAACAAAATAGATGAGGCAGGTAGGAGGGAAAGATTTGCTAAGCTGATCCGACTGCTACATGTATGCTCTAAAGTACTCGCCTTGAGTGCATATGAGAACTATACCCTGAGTTCCCCTACCAATCTATATTTATTACCGTACACAGTACTCTTACACTCATGCTGTAGATTTACAATTTACTAGCTTCAAGTCATTTTACTTGACATATGTAAAAACAAATAGACACGAAACCTAACACTGGTTCTAAAGTTACCAGCTGTGCAAAGGCTGCCTAAGTCCCTAGTCCTAGTTCATGATTTAGACAAGAATCAACCCTAAGCTGATGCTTCCCTAAAATACATTGGGTATAAGCTTTACCTTTTCCGCGTCTTTTTGGAGGCTGAGACTTTGGTTGGGTTGTTGGTGTTGTGTCAGTAACACTTTCCGGAGACATAGAATGCTCCGGACTTTTTATTCCAGGTTCTGATGCAGTTTCAGACCCTTGACTACCGCCAAGAGGAGTATCCGCCATATTGGAGCTCGAATCGACTGAACGAATGTTCGAACTATGGTCTTCCTTGTCTTCCTTGTCTTCGACTTTAAGCTATTTGAGAAGTACTCTGGATGATGTTAAGATGTCATATTCTCAAAAATTGATGAAAAAATCCTCAAAAAAGAGACCACAATTCTTTCTGATTATTTTAAAAATGATGTTCCGCAGGTGTAAGCTTTGTCCGCCATGACAACGGAGGTGCTTATGGTCACTTAGTGTAGCTTACATGAAGGAACCGAGCGCAGAACTTCGCGCATCCTCGGAGACCCACGAACATTTTATCGACCCGACTAACTGCCCCTGGGTCTCCGAGGGTGAACTTCGAGGGTTTTGAGAGATTTCGAGGCAAAAAAAAAAAAAAAAAAAAGAGTGAAAGGTTTTGGAAGTATACCAAGTCACAACGTCAAGATAGTTTAGGCGTATCACGCATGGTTTACAAAGACTTATGGGTTGTATTCTTCCCATGATGCACTGCAGGTCCCAACATTGTTGGGAGTTCTTGCATCCGTTTGCACACCACTGCCATTGTTTTTCGTGTCATATAATTTAAGCTTTCTGTAAATTATGAAGGCTCGGAAATTCGATCATGGGATTTTTTTGGGTTTTGTTGGAAGCCCTACCGATTTTTTTGGCCTTTTATTTTTGCCCCGCCCCATCACCCACCGTCACTTGAAATCCGGAGAACCCAAACTGCATATAGCTATTTCCAAAGGTTTGTTAAACAATAAAAATGAAAGAGATGAAAAGAAAGTGTTCGTAGTGCGCATGTTTTTTACTTAAAATTATTAAGGGAATTTGATTTGGTGTTTGGGATTTATTACAAAAATTCATTTGATTTGGGAAATATCTATAGGTGAAGGGAAATATCATAAAAAAAACTTGATGTTCAACTCCTCCCGAAATGAGAAAATGATTTCTGTTGATTCATTCTCCTTGGTCTTGTTGAAGGAAAATGTTGATCGAAGAGTTCACGTTAGCCACTTGTGACATTTGCTGCGATACATGTCTGTAGTAAAGTTGTTGTAATCGTTCTTGTTGATTGATTTTAGCAAGCTATTTCACAACTAATAGTTTTGGCCTCTAAATTTAATTGATGATCGATAGAAAGTTTCTCCTGACATGAAGTCGGTGCAAACGAGATGTACCAATTGGTCGGTGCATCTCTGGAGTAAAGCCTTGTTTACATTAAGTATTTTGTTCAGTTTAACATTTTTGATTTTAATCTGGTCTTCCAACTATATTTACCAGGAAATGACTACCTTACTTCTTTAGTTTTAACAAGTTTAAGCAGGTTTCCTTGAGTTTTTAACCGAATTCATGGCAAAGGATAACTTTGATTAGATTTAAGTGATTTTATAGGTGTTTTTGTGGGTAAACAAATATTGTTCTAAATTCTGCCTTGAACCTTAAACTTCATTTTAAATTTACCCTCTGAGTTTTGCGATCAAGTCCGTGGTTATATTAATCTATGGAAAAGTTTTAGCCAATCATTTTCAATGAAGAAGCTTAACACCTTCTGTAAATCGACAACAAACTTAGATTCTCAAACTGTAATTACAGCGCTTGCCTATAAGCTGTTTTGAAAGGTTTGAGTATAACTACATACTTTGTAGTTTTTATATTGTTCTGTTTGTTTTGTATTGGCTAGTTGACTTGGGTAGAAAAACCATGATTTTCACAAAGTAATTATCTCGAAGGTTTCATGCTAATAAGGTTGTCTCAACCAATCAGATTAGACTTACGTCAGCATTAGTTTACACTAAGCAGATGGTTTTCCGGGGTGATATGAAAATGGGTGTAACACTAAATTACCAGAGAGAGAATTGTAAAAGCTAGAAGCTGAGAGTGAATAAACCACCAGTGAGTCAGAAAAAGTTGTTTGTTGTAAGGGCTAGCTAGTCCCCCTCCAACAAAGTGGTGGAGAACCTCGAACCTTCTCCCCGTGCCATTGTTTGTCTGGTGGTGGCCGTGGCCGTGGCTTTGGTACACCGCAACAGCCCAACGGACCTCTTCGTCGACCAACCAGCCTTCCCTTGGTAATAATCAGCCACAGGCTGCCCACAGGCTTAAAAGGATGTGCACGCGACAATCCCGAAAGGTAATATGGGATATGATCAATACACTGTTCCTAACATTGTAGCTGTCGAACTTAGTTTTGTTAATTTCCTTCGTCCATTGCCTCTCGAAGCACGTGCCATTCATTCAATTGTGAACTCAAAACCCCAACGATGCCTTTCGTGCACTTTTCCGTACAAACTGTCTTGAAATAGCTGCAAGTGTAGAGTTCGGTAACCTATATGTACTCGGCCAGGTACATATCAGCAAGGATTTCATTAAGCGCAAGACTGATCTCGACAAATATCATCTAACGACGTCCAGGCATCAGTTTTTCCCTATTGACATTACAGACTATCATAGCCCAAAACAAGGGCTACCCATTCCACATGCTCCGACGACGAATCCAGGCATCAGAAATACACAAGGACACAAAATTTTTCCTACCATTTTTTTAGTGTTTACTGTTCCCATATGAACCCTATGAATAAAACAAAAAATAAAAAAACATTACCAGATACATTAATTCAGTGAACTGGCGATCGCTTAGATTGGGATGCCTGTGGGACGTTCATTCTTGAGCGGCGATTTTAAGTTTAATTTTCGGACAAATCGTCTCTAGGCACTGTCTACAGCAGTATAAACACTTAGCAGTACAATTTTGATATCACTTAGGCACTGTTAAATGGAAAATTGCTCACATCCGGTTAACATACGTAGTTCAAAAACATCTTTGCTTAACCTCCCTTGATCTGTCGCAATACAAGGACGATTTGATTTCTGTTGCTTTCTCAAAGTGCCCAAACAATTATCCGACCACTTTTCGCTCATAATAGATAGTAAATCATTCATTGAACCAATGTAAAGGATTAAAAGCTGTGAAGTTCCCTATCGCTATAATGTTTTTATTTATTTATCATATTTCAATATTTTTTCTTTTTGCAGACAATTCAGATTAATGCAAAACTTTTCCTTAGAACCTCTGAAAATCTCCATGCATTAGAAGGTTACTGCTGCTTATGTTACATGTTAAGCTAAAGCTTTAAGAAAATTAGCGTTTGTGGCATCAGTTAAGAAGAATTCAGAAGTTCCAAGTTACGCTCTAATTTTCGCAGCCGATTTGATAAATGCATGCATCATCACTGCACCCAAAAAAGTCTTTAGTACCATTATTGTAAAATAGCTTTCCTCCTTTACATGATGGCTCCCACATTTGCTATGTATTCGGCCACGTTCATCTAGCACGAAATGGACTGCGAGCAGTCTCGAAGCAGTCTATTTTTTCTTCAGATTTAGTGAGGGGAGTGCACGCGCGCGTGAGCGTCAAGCGGTTAGTGCCACTCCGGTCTCGCGCCTTCAGTCATGCGCGTGATTCATTAGTGTTTCTCGCAGGTTTCGCTCGACGAACTTAGAGAAAAGAGAGACTGCTCGTAGTCTAAGCACGAAACTGATAATGAAAACAAATAAAATACGGCTTTTTATGGTTTTCACTACTCACAACACCGAGCGTCTTAAATATAACAAACCTTATATTAACTAATAAATATCTACCTTCTGTCTTTATTCGGTAAAATCCTAAAACGTGACCCAAATGGAGTACACTTTTTTTTCCTTAATGCTATGAAAGGGTTCACTTAGTAGAAACCGCGTTAAACTGTCATCGATGACACCCCTTTGTACCAGGTGGTTTAGTTTAGTCTACCCAGTTATAATTTAGCCTCCCCGATACCTGGCGAATAGTTTGTTGGTATCCGGCGAATTTTCATGCTCTCCCGGTCACTTTTTATTGCAAATCTTACAACACTAATGGGTTCGTCATTCACATTTGTTTAAAAGAAGCAAAAATATAAATTGTTACCATTGACAAAAGAAATTAGAGGGTACAGGTAATCGATCTTGCAAGAGAAAAAAAAGGTGTGAATCTTTCCATTCTTCTCGTTAGAGCAATATGTAAAAGTATTTCCAAGGATTCATAGCAGTAAAGATGTAAGTACTGCCACCCGGTATGGCATTTAAGGGCGATAAACAACCAAGAAAAAAAAGCCAGTCGAAAATAAGCCCACCCAGTGACCTTTTCTCCTTGAACCCACTAAAGATATAAATTCCACTGGGTCTCTTATAGAAAAAAATACCACTACAGTCTTCACTACACAGGCCTATGTTCAAACAAACTGCGGTTTAATTAGGAATGGGCGGTTTGCAAAGTTTAAACACGACTGGTGCAACAAGAACTCTGTTTAAACAAGGGCCTTGCTTAAATATTATAAAGTCTATCGAAGTCTCAAGTTGATCTTCGCTTGCTTTCTCCCTGCTGCACAAAGGATAAATGGCCGCTAGCGTACATCCACACTCCTCCTCCAACACGATATATAGCCACACCCAATAGCACTCTTTTCCTGGAAGCTGTTGGGACAAAAACCGACAATACAATTTATTGTTTGATTTTTAAACAAGGATTTCCCAGCTTTCTTTCGCTATTGCTGCAGAATATTTGGTCGTGCATTTAAAAACTCTTGTTAATAGCTTTAATTTTATCATTGAAGCAATTGCAATCAATGCCTACTCACAATTCAATTATTATTATTTTTTCAATTAAATCACATGTTAACAAAATTCATTTGATGGAATTTTGAATCCCAAGCTGTCCTAACTCAGTAAGTAGAGCAGACTGGGAGAAGACGACTGTGTCGAGTCAATACCTCCAGCTCAACCGGACACATTATCAAAGATTAGTTTTCTCTTACTCCTCTCTTTGCAATGTTTAGGCCCTTTGGTTAACCCTATAAAGCTGACTCCTTCCCAGCCGTCTCTTGAAGAAGTTATTGATGAAGAAGCTTTTGAATTAGTTTTCTTATACTTACCAGGTAAAAACGCCATGGCCATTGACTGAGCTTTGGGTTTCCGTCATTACCATCATCATCATCATCATCATCATCATCATCGTTGTCGTCTACATCATCGTCGTCAGCATTGTTATCAACAACGTCCTTCACATTTCTATCATCATCGTCGTCAATAACATTATTATGATCGTCCTCGGCATCATGGTCGTTGCTGTCATCACCATCACCATCATCATAATCATCATCCA